ATGCCTTTTAAATTGAGCCTAAAAGGATTGTAGAAATTAAACAAGATGCAATGACAATAGGGAAGACATGACAAGTACTCCATGGTACTGTTGATAGTTTTGCTTTTGTTTACAACCATCAGTTGTTATTTTAACTGTGATTAAGCTAAACTAAGGCTAATTCTGAGGCTCCATCTAACATACTTTGGACATGTTGTAAGGAGGGACCGGTCCTTGGAAAGAGACATCATGCTTGATAGGGTGGAGGGACAGTGCAAGAGGGGAAGGCCCTCTATGAGGTGGATTGATTCAGTGACTGGGGTAATCAGGATGGGCGTGTCAGAGACAGTACGATTGACATAGGACAGAGCAGAGTTTAGGGCTGTTGTACATAGGGTTGCCATGAGTCGCAAGTGACTCAACGGCACATAACAACAACAAGGCTAAAAATACAGGTAGAATCCATTTACAAATAATACCATATGAAAACCATATGACTGCCGAATGGGCTATGTGAACTATACTGTTAGAATAGGAAAGGACTTTTGTTGTTAAGTTCCATCTAGTCTATTACAACTCATAGAGACCCAAGACTAATAATTTGAAACGTTTCCTGTGCTGTACCATTTCCTAATGTGCTCCAGCCCATTGTTAACTATTACTGTGTCAATCCATCTTGTTGAGGATTTTCTTTTTCTCTTACTTGCCACCTTTTCCAACATGATATCTTCTTCCAATGACTGGTCCTTCCTAACAAAGTGTGCAAGACAGTTTCACCATATAAAGAGCAACCAGGTTGTTCATTTGGCAGTCCCTGGAATAGTCAGTACTCTTCCTCAACACTGGAATCAAAGATATTCTTCTTTAAGTCATTCTTATACCTTGTCCAACTTTCAGATGCATAGAAAGCAATTAAAAATTTCATGACTTGGATTTTGCAAACCTAAGTGTTTAAACTGTTATTTTTGCTCATTAGAACTTTGGAGCGGTCCTTGACAGCAGATTTTCCCAATGACATGGTTTTTTTTTATTTCTTGACTGCTGTCACTATGCCTCTTGATTGTGGATCCAAGTAAAATGAAATCGATCCCAATTTTAATCTTTTCATCATCCATTAAGATGATGCCTGTTCGTTCAATGGTGAGAATTTTGTTTTATTGATGTTATAATTCTATCTGTATTGAAAACTCTATTTTGGTTAAACCAGGCTACTCCTTGGAAGCAAGGATTCTGGGGCTTCGTCTGACATACTTTGGACGTGTTGTAAGGAGAGACAGGTCATCATGCTTGGGAGGGTGGAGGGACAGCGCAGGAGGGGAAGATCCTCTATGAAGTGGATTGATTCAGTGACTGGGGTAATCGGGATGGGTGTGTCAGAGGCAATGTGATTGGCAGGATAGAGCAGAGTTTAGGGCTGTTGTGCATAGGGTCACTATGAGTTGCAAACGACTTGATGGCAATAACAACAACAACAACAGTGAAAACTCTAGCTTTCAATCTTCTGTCACTAAAGTTCTTCATTTACTGCAAGAGAAGGTGTAGAATTTGCATAATTTCCAATCCTGAAGGCACATTATGCTTTGTTTAGTTAGGTTTCATAACAACTTAGTATTACTTGGATCTACAATCAACTCTTGGTCAACAGTAGTCAAGAAATCAAAGACATGTTGCAATGGGAAAAATCTGTGGTAAAGGATCATTCCAAAGTACTAAAGAGAAAGAATGTAAGTTTAAAGACTAACATGTACTTGATCCAAGTCATGATCTTATCAACTACATCCTAGGCATCTGAAAATTGGATGATGAATAAGGATAACAGAAAAAGATATGATATCTTTCAGTTACGGTGTTTGAGAAGCATGCTGAATATTCCATGGACTGCCAAAAGTGCAATAAGAGTGTTACTTAGGACAGAGAGAATACAGAGCTGGAGCTAAGAAAAGCAATACCCTTCACAATAGCTAATCACAAGATTAAATATTTGGGAGTAA